CCTACATTTCCTCACCACAATAACTGATGTATTTTCTCTTGGGACAAGGCATGTGCTAGTTTCACTCATTCCTTCTTTGTCTAGGCTCCTATAAGCTTTTGAGTTAATGACTACTGGCTTGAGTAGCCAAATATAGGTAGGCACAGAATATAGGAAGATGAATAAGTTTAGCAAATATTCTGCTTTAAATAATAATCACATGATGGGGCGCCTGGGTGGCGCAGTCGGTTAAGCGTCCGACTTCAGCCAGGTCACGATCTTGCGGTCCGTGAGTTCGAGCCCCGCGTCGGGCTCTGGGCTGATGGCTCAGAGCCTGGAGCCTGTTTCCGATTCTGTGTCTCCCTCTCTCTCTGCCCCTCCCCCGTTCATGCTCTGTCTCTCTCTGTCCTAAAAATAAATAAACGTTGGGAAAAAAAAATAAAGTTTAAAAAAAAAAATAATAATCACATGATTCAACATTAAAAAGAGAAAAACACATTAAATATCCTAAATTACTAGCCAATTATGTAACCTGATTTTCTTCTATGGTGTCTTGCCATTAGTCTTCGGAGGCCACTCTGTCTTTATGAAGAATCAAGGAATAAGTTTTGCCTCATTATTCTTAAACACTATTAGAATATATGAGAATATGAAAGTGAGGATGGTATTCTTATAAGTCAGCCTTTTCATTATTTTGGATCATTCTAATGTCCTAAAATTTCCATGTGTCAACAATCCGTTTTTCTTTCAAAGGAGACAAAGTTGATGCCAATAGACTTGAAAGTGTTTTCGAAAACTTGGGGATTAAGCTCACACCTAATGAACATTTGAACTTGCTGAACACACTGCCACTTGATGGTGAGTCTTATGGGTGCTATTTTGGTGTTTTAGAAAGACTAGTTTTGTAGAAGTATATGAAAAATTACAAAATAAACTAAAAATGCTTGAAAACTGTTAAAAAGCTAATGCAAATACACAGAGAAATCTCACCACTTGGATTTTGATTTAAAAATCATCTGTCTAAAAATAAAAAATAAAATAAAATAAATTAAATAAAAAAAATAAAAATCATCTGTCTAAGCCTTTTCAGTTATAAGTTGCTATCAAAGGAAAAATTCATTACTCAGCCCTCAGGTTACTGATCAGCTGGATTTGTAAAAAAAAAAAAAAAAAAAAAAAAAAAAGAATTTAAAAAAAAAGAAAAAAGAGAGAGAGGAAGGTGTCCAGTTTTCCCAGAACCAACTAATAATGTAGTTGTGTGTTTCTGCAGCATCGAATATATAGTTTATCAATAAGTGGGTAATATGGTACATTGAGAAAAGGCCATAGTTCTTAACTACACCAAAAAATTTCATAAAAAATGCTTTTAATCCTCTAACCCAAAGATAATCATTATTAATATTTTCATACATTTCCTTCTAGTGCACAGTAGATACTAGATTGATAGATAATATTTATGTATTATTAATTTATTTATAACTGTTATGTCTTCACAATGGTAACGTGTGTATTTATCATAGAAATCTTGATAGTGTAGATAAGTGAAAATAAAACCTCTCTATTCCCAACTCAAAGTGATAGCTACTGTGAAAAATGAGATGTATATTTTACAGTTTTCCATCTTTGAATATATGTCCTTTTTTTATTTGACAGCCTTGTGGATAAATCTTTGTAAGCATTCTGAATCTTTTGAGATGAAATTCCTTTAAGTAGACTTACAGAATGGAAGATATTTTGTCTTCTCACTCGCCTTCCAGAATATTTATAATTTGAAGTCCCACAAACAGTATTTGAGGATGTTATTGTCCCTACATTCTCAATACAGAACAACAATAACAAAAAAGAGTATCTCATGATTATGATTTCCAATTTACTCCTTTACCCCTGAGAGCAAACATTTTGGTATATCTATTTATCTGTTTGTAATTTGAAATGTTCCTTAGTCAAAGATTTCTAAACTCTTTCTTTCTGACTCTGTTTTCAAAATACCCATTTTTTGTAGCTGATGGAAAAGTGTATAAGAAAAGGTTGATGAAGGGCATAAAGTCTCTCAAACGTAAGAAGCACTGTGAAAAGACGGGATCTGAAACCTTTAGTTGTATTGTTAAAATAGGAATCATCCTTTCCTATATAATTGTGTCTTTATTTATGTTTCTTTAGTAGATCTGCATTTTATCAGGTAAACCAAGTAGTTTCCTGCACTAATACTTGACAGAAAGTGTTAAACTGTCTGGGATCTTCCTACCTTAGCCCCAGAGAAACAAAATAAGGTACGAAGCAAAAGGTGAAGAATGAATGCTGTCAGATAAAGATTTCAATCAAAAGTAAAGGCAAATAATTTGAAAGCGCAGGCAACAAAAATACCTCTTGTTTTATAGAATATGATGTCAGTCACCTCTAGCTCTGGCTTTTCAGAATCCTAACATAAAAGTGAAAGGAGGTTTATTGTCCTATTAACTGAACAAAACTGGATTTTTGGTGTTTGCCTTGAAAATCTTAACAATAATGCTAAGAAATATGTGAAATGTTCCTTATTCTAATAAAACATATGCTTGATAAAGAGGAAAAATAACACAGTAGAGTGAATGCACGGTCCCAGTTTTAGAAAGATTGTTTTACTATATTCCATTCCTGCTCCTTACTTAGGAGGCAGCGTTGATGTCAATAAGCTGGACACTCTTTTAGAAAACATGGGAATCAGCATCACAGAAGGAGAATTCATGGATCTGATAGAAAGATTGCCAGATGATGGTGAGCACTGACATTCCCCCTGTACTTTTTAAGAGATATTTGTTGTTTTCATCTTTATTGAGATGCAGTCAACATAGAACGTTGTGTAAGTTTAAGGTGTAAACCTGTTGATTTTATATACTTGTATATTGCAAAATGTTTATGCCATAACTAACACCCCTGTTGCATCACATAACTACCTTTCTTTTTATGGTGAAAACATTTACGATCTACTCTCTTAGGAACTTTCAAGTATGTAAGACAGGGTTATTAACTATAATCACCATTCTGTATTATAGTCTCAGAATCTACTCACATTAGAAATGGGAGTTTGTACCTTTAACCTAACACCTCCCCATTTCCCCACCTCCTCCCTCAGCCCCTCATAACCACAATTTTACTGTTTCTGTGAGTTCAGTTTTTTTTAGATTCCACATACAAGTGATATCATATAGTATTGGTCTTTCTCTGTCCAACTTATTTCACTTAGCACAATGCCTTCAAAGTTTATCCATGTCACAAATGGCAAGATTTCCTTTTTTCTCATGGCTGAATAATTTTCTATTGTATATAATATACCACATCTTTCTCTAATCATCTGTTGACAGAGACATATCTTGGTTATTGTGATTAATGTTTCAATGAACATGGGAGTGCAGATATCTTTTTGAAATCCTCTTTCAAAGTGGGATTTTGAATCATATGCTGTGGGATTGCTGGATTATATGGTAACTCTATTTTTCATTACTTGAGGAACCTCTATACTGTTTTCCACAGTGGTTGCACCAATTTATATTCCCACCAACGGTGAACAAGGGTTTCCCTTTCTCCACATCCCCATCAACATTTGTTATCTCTTCTGTTTTTGATGATAGCCATTCTAACAAGTGTGAGGTGATATCTCATTATGGTTTTGATTTGCATTTCCCTGATGATTAGTTATTTTGAGCACCTTTTCATGGACCTATTGGCCATTTGTGTGTGTTCTTTAAAAAGATGGCCATTCAGTTTCTTTGCCCATTTTTTCCCTGGATTTTTGGGGGTTTTGCTACTGAATGTACAAGTTCCTTATATAGTTTGAATATTAACCCCTTACCAGAAATGCAGTTTGAAACTATTTTCTCTCATTCTGTAAGTTGCCTATTCATTTGGTTGATTGTTTCTTTTTCTGGGCCGAAGCCTTTTGGTGTGATGTAGTCCCACTTAGTAATTTTTTCTTTTCTTTTTCTTTCTCTTTCTTTCTTTCTTTATTTCTTTCTTTCTTTCTTTCTTTCTCTCTTTCTCTCTTTCTCTCTTTCTCTCTTTCTTTTTTTTGCTTGTGCCTTTTGTGTCCTATCTAAAAAAATAATTGCCAAGACTCATGTCAAGGAGCTTTCTTCCCTATGTTTTCTTCTGGAAGTTTTACAGTTTTCAGGTCCTACATTTAAGTCTTTAATCCATTTCAAGTTCATTTTTGTGAGTGGTATAAGATTATGGCACAGTTTCATTCTTTTGCGTGTGGTTATCCAGTTTTCCCAATACCATCATATCAGAGACTATCCTTTCCCTATTGAGTATTCTTGGCTGCCTTGTTGACAGTTGACTGTATATGTGAAGTTTTATTTCTAAGCTCTCAATTCTGTTCTCTTGGCCCATGTATCTATTTTTATGCTGTACCATACAGCTTGATGAGCCTTGTAATAATAGTTTGAAATCAAGAAGGGTAATGCCTCCAGCCTAGTTCTTCTTTCTCAGTATTGCTTTGGCTGTTCGGGGTCCTTTGTGGTTCCATATAAATTAAAGATTTTTTTGTATGTCTATGAAAAAAATACCATTGAAATTTTTATAGGAATTGGATTGAATCTATAAATGACTTTTGGTAGTATACACATTTTAACAATATTAATTTTTCTGACCCACGAATATGAGATATATTTCCATTTGCTTGTGTCTTCTTCGATTTCTTTCATCAAGGTTTTGTAGTTTTCATTATATAGATCTTCCACTTCCTTATTTAAATTTATTCCAAAGGGGCGCCTGGGTGACTCAGTCAGTTAAGTGTCGAACTCTCAATCTCAATTCAGGTCTTGATCTCCGGGATGTGAGTTCAGGCCCCACATTGGGCTCCGCACTGGTTGTGAAGCCTATTTGTAGATAGATAGATAGATAGATAGATAGATAGATAGATAGATAGATACATACATACATACATACATACATACATACATACATACATTTATTCCCAAATATCTTGTTTTTTTATGCTGTTGTGAGTTGTATTGTTTTCTTTATATCTTTTTCAGATATTTCATTGTTAGTGTATAGAAATGCAACTGATTTCATTATGCTGATTTTGTGTCCTGCAACTTTACTAAATTCATTGATTAGTTCTACCAGGTTTTTGGTGGAGTCTTCAGGACTTTCTATATATAAGACGATATAATCTGCAAACAAAGACAATTATGCTTCTTCCTTTCCTATTTGGATGCTTTTTCTTGCCCTAGACTGATTGCTCTAGAATAGACTTCCAGTATTGTGTTGAGTAGAGGTGGTGAGAATGTGTACCCTTGTCTTGTTCACAAGGCTCATTTTCTTATAGGCTTTTCTTTCTCACTTCAAACCAGCGGGTTGAGTTTTTTTTAATAAAATAGAATAAAATAGTAAAACTAGATATTGTTTCATGAGTCTTCATGATCACATGTGTGTGTGCGCACGTGCTCAGAGTTCTTAGTATGGTTTACAGTAAAAAT